TTGTCCAAAAGCAGGTCCTTTCTGGATAAAGGGACAGATTGGCATGTTCTGTGTATACACACACACATGTGCACATTCATACATACTTCTGGCTGTCTTCCAAGGTAAAGAATTACAGCCTGCTGAGTATTCTAGGAGGTAAGGCAAACTCACTTGAAACAGAGGTGATGAAATTTGGGATAAACTTTAACTTTGGAGTAGATTCAAAGCAAATGCAAAGAACTCACTAGCAGGGCTTTTTTTTTTTTTTTTTTTTTTTTTTTTTCTGAGCACAGATCATGCCGTGCTTCTTTTGATTATTCCTTTAGAAAAGAGGTACTTTTAGGTAGGTTTGGATTGACTAGTATCTCTTGAACCTCTGCTGTTCAACATATAAGTGGCTGAAATGGGTCTGCTGCTCATACTGAGTTATTTGAAGCAGCAAGAACAAGAGCTGGCTGCAAAGAGCTGCAGAAGGACCTTGTGAGGTTGAATGACTGGGCAATCAAAAAACAGATGAAATTCACTGTGTATAAATTGAATCGACACCTACCAGGAAGAAAAATCTTAGCCTCTCATATGAGATCGAAAGCTCTGAGAGAGATCACTGTCACTGAGAAGGAAACCGTGGCATTAGTTACATATCTGAAAACATCAGTAAAGTGTGTGGCAGCACTCAGACAATCAAATGTTGCAGACCATTGGTAAAGGAACACAGAACACAACAGGAAACATGAAGATGGCACTGCAGGAATCCACAGATAACCTGCACCCTTACTTAGCCCTCTCATCCCAAAAAGCAGAAACAGAAAAAAAAAATAGAGAGGGGCAACAAAGATGATCAAAAGTTTGGAGCAGCTTCTGTACGAGGTCAGTCTGATTAGCTTAGCACTGTGGAGTTTGGAAAAGAGATTGCATGATGTGTTAACTCATAGGAAATCACCAGGGGCACAGACACAGTGGGAAAAACCTCAGTTTCTTCAAACACAAAAATCCAGGAGCTCTCAAAGGCAGGGAGCCATAGCCAGGCTCAGAGTATGCATCACGAGCTGGTGCCTTGTGCAGCAGGTAGACCTGGGGAACCCCTCACCCATAGATGCTGTGTGGGCCAAAATCTGAAGTGTGCTCAAGGGGGGGCTGGCCAAGCCCTTGGAGAGTGTGAGAGCCACTGCAAGTTACTGAGTCAACTAATCAAACTGAGCTGAGGAAACCCCTCTGCAGATACTGGTCAGAGGGTGGGAGAGCCCAAAAGGGAAGTGTTGTGTGTGCTGCCTTGTTCCTGCTCTTGCTGAGGCAACTGCCCTGGCTGCTCTAGATGGGCCTTTTGTCTGCACCCATATACTGCCCTTTTACAACCAATTTCCCTCTGACTGATGGGAGCCAGCACTGACATCATCTGAGTCAGATGTACTGCAGCAAGCCTGAAGGAAGAAGGAGAAGGATGTGGGGCTATTTTTGGCATGTGAGGCCCAGATGCTCGCTGTCTTCTCTCACAAGTCAGGAAGGGCACAGACTAGAACAGGAGGTCAACACTCCTTTAGAATGTCCTGTATTTCTTAGTAAAATGGACTGGAACCAGAGAAGACCAGTAAGCTGACAGTTGTTAGATAAACCTGGGCTTTTTTAGTAACTTTTCTGAATGTTGTGAAAACTTCCTTGTGCACAGGATGGTATATTTAACGTACAATTGCATTTCCTGCATCTGAGAAGGCAGGAGCATTCTTGAAGACTAGGATGGATGGAGGTCATCTTTAAAAATGCTGATTTCATTTACATGGTTAATATAATGGATATGATGATCCACAATTGAAGCAGGTACCACTTTAGTAAAGTTAATAAAAGCTGTAGTCAGTGGAAATTCATAAGCTTATATAAAATTTGTAATTAGGAATCTCAATAGAAATAAAACTGTCAATAGAGAAATACTAGGGGTAACAAAAGGTGATGTGTGTGCTAACTAGGGAGGAGTAGATACACAGGAAATGATGGAGGACTAAAATTATATAAAACACAAAACAGGAAAGGGGATTTTAGCAGAAAATGATGTTGTTAGAATAATATGTAAGTTCAAGGTGACAGTCTTGGTACAGTGATCTTAGAAATTGTTTACTGACTTGAAATTATTTACTGTTAACTCTGGTAGACAGCTAATTCCCATGCTTGCTCACTCACCTTCCTCCTCCAGCAGGATGGGAGAGAGAATCAGAAAGGTAAAAGTGAAAAAGGTAAAAGTTACGGGCTGAGGTATAGACAGTTCAATAGGTAAAACAAAACCTGTGTGCACAAGCAGAGCAAAACAAGGAATTCACCACTTCCCATTGGCAGGCAGGTGTTCATTCATCCCCAGGAAAGCAGGGCTCCATCATGCATAGTGGTGACTTTGGAAGACAAATGCCCTAACTTTGAATGTCCTCCCTTCTTTCTCCTTTCCTCCAGCCTTTACTGTTGTACATGACATCACATGGATGGTCATAAGGAATATCTCTTGGGTCACTGGGGTAGCTGTCCCAGCTGTGTCCCCTCCAGCTTCTTTTATATCCCAGCCTCCTTGACAGCAGGGCAGTGCAAGAAGCAGTGTAAGCACTGCTTGGCAGTAACAAAAATATCCTTGTGCTATACACTGGTCACAAACCCAACATGGAGTCCTCAACAAGCTACAATGAAGAAAATTGTCTCTATCCTAGCCAAAATCCATGTATATATATATACATTATAGCACCTTGCAATGAAAATAAAAGGCTTGTGACATCAAGAGATGTGGAGTCATACAAAAGAAATAAAAATACATACACACCATTCACAGAATCACTGAATATTCTGAGTTAGAAGGATCCACATGGATCATGGAGTCCAGCTCCTGGTCCTGCACAGGACAGTCCCAAAAGTCACACCATGTGCCTGAGAGTATTGTCCAAATGCTTCTTGAAGTCTGTCAGGCTTGGTGCTGATCACTTCTGTGGGGAGCCTGTTCCAGTGCCCAACTACCCTCTGGGTGAAGAACCTTTTGCTAATAGCCAATCTAAACCTCCCTGACACAACTTCAGGCCACTCCCTCAGGTCCTGTCACTGGTCATCAGAGAGAAGAGACCTGGTGCCTGTCCCTCCACATCCCCTTGTGAGGAAGTTGTTAAACTGTGATGAGGTCTCCCCTCAGTCTCCTTTACTTCAGGCTGAAAAAACCAAGTGACCTCAGCCACTCCTCATATGGCTTCCCCTCTAGACTTTTCACCATCTTTGTTGCCCTCCTTTGGACACTTTATATAATAGCTTTATATCTTTCTTATATTGTGGTACCCAAAACTGCACACAATATTCAAGGTGAGGCCGTCCCAGGTCAGAGCAGAGCGGGACAATCCCCTCCCTTGACCGGCTGGCAATGCTTTGCCTGATGCTCCCCCAGGACACAGCTGGCCCTCCTGGCTGCTGGGGCACTGCTGACTCATATTCAACTTGCCATGGACCAGGACTCCCTGGTCCCTTTCCCATCACTGCTCTCCAGCCTCTCATTCCCTGATCTGTATTTGCATCTGGGGTTGCTTCATCGCAGGTGCAGAATCCAGCACTTTCCCTTGTTGAACTTCATAGAGTTGGTGATTGCCCAGTCCTCCAATTTGTCTTGGTCTCTCTTCAGGGTCTCCCTGCCTTCAAGGGAGTCAACAGTTTTTCGCAATTTTGTATCATCTGCAAACTTGCTTAGTATCCCTTCAAGTCCTGCATCCAAGTCGTTTATGGCTACTTAAAGCCAATGAATACCATAATAACTGTACGCATGTCTTGTTAAATTCAGCAAGTACCTGAATGCAATGCAGTGCCAGAGTAGGGCTCACTAACAGGCATATGATGGCTCTAAGACACAAGCAATGCCCAGTATGGCTAAATTTGGAAGTAAATCATTTCCCAAGAGTGTGTTTGGCACACACATTTGGTGTAGCCATACCCCTGTGACACTGGGATGTGTGAGAGGGAAGCCGTACACTTCTGTACGTGTAACATAGGTGGTGTCCTGCACCTGGGGCAGAATAACCCCAAGGACCTGTACAGGTTGAGGGCTGACCTATTGGAAAGTAGCTCTGCGGAGCAGGACATGCAGGTCCTGGTGGACAACAAGCTGTTCATGAGCCAGCGATGTGCCCTTGTGGCCGAGACCAATGGAATCCTGGGATGGCCAGCATGTCAAGGGAGGTAATCCTACTCCTTTACCCAGCCCTGGTGAGGCTTCATCTGGAGTGCTGTTTCCAGTTCTGGGCTCCACAGCATAAGAGAGACATGGAGCTCCTGGAGTGGGTCCAGCAGAGGGCTGCAAAGTTCAGTAAGGGACTGGAGTATCTCACCTGTGAGGACAAGCTGAGGGAGTTGGGTCTGTTCAGCCTTGAGAAAAGATGACTGAGAGGGGCATCAATGTATTTGAGGGAGGAATGCCCCCACTAAAGCGGGAATGCCAAGAAGATGGAGCTAGGCTCTTCTCAGTGATGCCAACCAACAGGACAAGAGGCATTTGGTGGAAACTGATGCACAGAAAGTTCCATGTGAATGTGAGGAAGAATTTCTTTACTGTGCGGGTGACTGCACGCTAGAACACATTGCTCAGAAAGGTTCTGGAGTCTCCTTCACTGGAGATATTCAAGAACAATCCGGACACAATCCTGTGCTACGTGCTCTAGGATGGCCCTGCTTGAGCAGGGAAGCTGGACCAGATGACCCTCAGTGGTGCCTTCCAACCTGACGGATTCCGTGATTCCTCTTCTAACTTAACGGCGCTGCCCCGCAGACTTGCGAGAGCAGGGATCGTACAGCCCGCGACCACTGCGCCGGCAGGAACCGGAGGGCCCTTGTCCTCCGGGACGGTGCGTGCGAACAGCCCCGGCCCCAGCCCCGCTCCCGCACCAGCCTCCGCGGCCGGTCCCGCCCGCCGCCCTCTCCTTCCCCAGGGCGGCGGGGCTGCCTGCGGCCCGCCCCTGGCGGGGAGGGGCCGGCGCTAGGGCCGCTTTCCGCCCCGGTGTGGGACGTGGGGGGTGTTCGGGATGTGGCGGCCGCAGCCCCGGGCGGGCGGTACCGACAGGCGGCGCCCCGGCGGGGGGGACGCGGCGGGCTCAGGTGAGCGGGGCGGCCCGAGGGGCCCGCGGTGCTGCGGGGGAGGGCGGGGCGGCCGCCGGCGGGAGCGGGGGGGGGTACGGGGTGTGCCCGACCGAGGAGCTCCGGCGGAGCCCGTGAACGGGCAGGGGGCGACGCGGACCCCTGATGGGGCCGGGACCGGGAGCGGCAGCGCTTCTCCCCGCTGGAGGGGCCGGGCTGCTCGGCTGGAGGTGCCCTCGGGCTGGGAGAGTCGGCGGCCCCGGGGAGTCGTGTTGAATATGGGCGGAATTTAGTAATGTTTCGGTTTGGGATTCTTGTTTGTTTGTTTTTGTTTCTTTGTTTGTTTTTGTTTCTTTGTTTGTTTTTCCTCTCGAATAAAACACGGATCTTTCGAAGTCTGAAAGTTTTAGGATTTTTTTTTTTTTTAAGTTCCCAGTGGTGTTGGCATTTGTTTCACAGTAACTGCAGTCTCTAAGAAACAGTCTTGCATCTTTTAAATAACAGAACTGTTGTTTTTTAACTCAAAACAGTACTCGAATTTCACTTCGGCCAATGAACGCAGTTATAATGATATGTAGATGTTTAATTTGTTTGCTTATTTTTATAATAACCAACTGCAAAGAGGGAAGTAGTGGTGTTCTTAGAAAGGTCACCCACATAGTATCTCCAGTCTTGGCTTAAGGAGGAAAAAGGAAACTGCCATCCCAACGGGGATTCTGTGCATATATACTTATAAATAACTGAATTTTATAAGACTGTGACCTCTAGTGTGGATGAGCTGCTCTCCTCTTCCCTCAGAGCAGCAGCAGTCAGCTATCCTGAGCTAGGACTGCCCTCATTACCTGTACTGATGCTGACAAAAGGCTGGAGCCATGGGGAAATTCTGGAAGAAAACACCTTTCCCAGGACAGTTGGTGAAGAAAGGTGTATTGCTCACTGGGCGCATTTCTGCTGTCCTTTGAGCAAGGAGGATTTCAGTCTTCCTTGCCAACGGTTTAATAGAAAACAGCTCATTCTTGTTTTGGTAATCCAGGCTAATCTTTGTGTACAAGTGCTTGAGTAACTTCTTGTTATACTCTTAAATAGCAATTTAAGAGTCCTGCAGTGCTTTTATAATAAAGGCTTTCAAAAAATAAGCTGCAGAAGGTATATGAGCTAGTGCTGCTGGTAATTCAAAGTAAATGACTTTTCAAAGAAGTGACTGAAGTACACTGGGATCCATTATCTCTGATTTTGTCCTTTTTTATTTGTTCATTTACTTGCTAATTTGCTATTGGCCTTATGGTAACTCTTGAAAATGAGAGAAGTTCTACTTTATTAAACTTTTCTTGGTGTTTAAATACTGATGTCCCTTTAATTATGTTGTACGGGTATTCCCTCATCTCATTGCTGAAGTTAAAATTGTTGTGGTTGATTCAAGGAAGTCATTGACAGTGATTTTCCAGCTGAAGCTACAGTACATTTTTTACCATTGATAGGGCTTTTAGACCCTAATGAAGCTGAAAAGTAAGAGTGTTTAAAGATTTGATTTAAAAGGAAAAAAACCCTGAGTTTAGAGGTTTGTGGTTGCTTAAAACATAGTGATCATGGCAATATGCCACAAAGGAATGTACATGAACCCCCAAATGCTTACACACAGTGTTTTGTACACTTGAGATTAGGACCATGTCCAACTATGTCTTTTTTTCTTCCTAGTGCTTGATACTATCAGAGTTATCAATATCCTCTACAGCTTTTAGAGACTGGACACTGCAAATGGCATGTTCTCATACACGGTATTGATAATTACAGTGCAGCAGCACTTTAAAAAACGGTCACAGGCAGGTATTGTGTTGCCACTGGCTTCCTCCCTCTTTAAATTTAGGTAAACCATCCTTTGTTCCTGTCAGTAAAGTGAAGTCAAAACTTTGGGCCTAAGCTGCTGCTGCTAGTATTGTAGTGGGGCCATGAAAGAAAAGAGGATTTATTAGCACCAGGATAAATTAATTGTGATGAACAGGAGGACAGAAAGCACTGCAAACA